TTTTGTTTGTAATTACTTCAAATGACACTAATCGGTTTAAACATTCCTCCTCCCTGATTCGCTAAATATAGCACTTCGATGAATTAATTGGGATAACAGTAAACAGGTTAAATACTTTGTTCTTTTGGGAGAAGTAATATCGTCTTCGTCGTAATTTATTTGAATCACACTAATCAGATTAAACAACGCCTTTTGTTGTTTTCCTAAATTTCTCCTTGCTGGTGATTAATTGGAATGACATGGATTTGCGTAAACAGTTGTTTTTTGTTTCGTACAAAATACTTCCCCCTCCGTAATTATTTGGAATGACACTAATCGGGTTAAACAAATCTTGTTCTTAGGTTCCTAAATATTTTTCGACTTATAATTAATCTGAATTGTATAAAATTGTGGAAATAGTTGTTTCCTCTTTCGTGGTAAATTTTGCCCCTGTTGGAATTATTCGCAATTACGTTCCAGAAGTGAAACAGTCTTCGTTATGTGGGTTTAAAATAATTTTCACTCTTTCATTATTTCCAGTTACGCTAACCGCGGAATAAATTTTGCTTCTGTTTCCTTTTACTTTCGCAACGTAATTACTTTTAATGGAACGAATGTCTTTGAATATTGCTTTTTCTTGCATTACCTTAATTATTTCCTTGCCCCGGAATCTCCTGATTGACATTACGCGATTGAAACACTACTGTTCCTGGGTGCACCATATTGCCCTGGGGGGTAATTATTCTTAATGACACTAAATGGTTGGAACATCGGCTTTTTTTTGATTTTTTTAATTGTTTTCCCACACCCGAGTTTTTGTAATAACATTACACTAGTGAATCATTCTTCTTTTCTTTTGTGCTAAATATTTCCGCTATTGTTAATTACTCTGAATGACCCCAAAAGATTTGAACAATTTTCTTTGTCTGTTACCGTAATTATTCTGTCGCACAGGCATCTTCGGAAGGACATTATACGAGTGAAAGATTGTTTCTTCCTGTTTTGTGGTATATATTGTGTCTGTTATCTCCTTTTTGGAGTGAAACTAATTGTGATTAACATGTCTCTGTCCTTTGTGTCCAATTATTCTCTTTGTACCCGAATGTACGGAAGAAATTTACACGACTGGAACATTCCTTCCCTCACCTCCCTTTAATTTCTTCTTTTGTGGAATCTTCTCAATCAGGTTAGACGTGTTGAACATTTGATTCTGTTTCTCTTTTTCCATTACTCTTTGCTATTGGAATTAGGCAAACACACCCGAAACTGCTGAATCACTGTCTTCCGGGTTACTGACTAGGCGGTGGCCCGGAATTATCTTGAATTAAATTAATCGAATGGAATATTGTTTCCTTGGTAGTTGGTTAATTCTCCCTTTCCTGCTTGAGGAGTTCAATACAATTCATCGAATCAAACTTCATTTTCCTTGGTCCTCTCTTTAGTCTTCGTTGTGAACGCAGGGTATTGCTTAAGATTTTATGCGTCGAACACTCTCTCATTCCTCGGCTCCCTCAAATAATCGGCCCCGACTGGAGTCCCTGGAATAAAATTAAACACCGGTAAAATCGCTGTTTCCCCCCTCTTATTAACTATTTCTTCCCCCGCGAATTTTCTGAAGAATATTTAACGGGTAGAGCATCCTTTCCCTTTAGCTGCTCGGAATATTCTGTGTCGTTCAATTCCTCTGCAGAAAACTAACAGCATGGAATTACACTTTACAATTAACATTTCGTATGGATTTGGATAGGCTCAATGACCCTCCTAATCCCTCAGTTTCCTATCGGTACTACGCTCTTAACTGCTTATAAATTTTACACTCGAGGCTGTTTAAAAGGAAGTATAGATTGAAAATTCTGGCCCTAGGAATAATTTTATCAAATATCCGCTATCGAACTTCCTCTAATGGTAATTTTTCTTGTTTCTATATTTCTTCGCTGAATATAAATCAATACTTCGGTGGGTAGTTGACTTGATACTTTAATTATTCTCCAGTTTATATTGCTCATCGCTATTACCTTCAATACTTAACAAAGTTAATACTTCCCCTCATTATCTTCATCTAACGAAGCATTATACACACCATGAGGGTGATTTATTGGTCTCTCTTATTTATTGGAATTTCTATTTCTGTATTTTAAGTCAGGAGTAACCTTACTGATCATTTACTTGCTCTGGCCTTTTTCTACCTTATGATAGGGAAAAAGGAACTTTTTTAAATTTCCGTACCCTCTTATATATAGTCTCGGGGGACCTCCTTAACTTCCTTATGACTAGGCATACTGTTTATAAAGAAATCACTGTGGGTTTTCTGTTGAGACTTATTTATATTTCCTCCAATTCTATGATCTTACAGCTGTCATAGGATTACTCCACTACGTATGAGTCTTTAACATGGTCTGCGAGTAAATATTAGGGGACACACGTATAAGAAAGCTAGATGAGTAATTCATAGGATAACTTTGATTATTCGACCAAACATAAGTACACCTTTACCAAGAGTATGATCGACCTTTTTATATAATTCAGAGAACAACTTTTATAATTATAATGCATTTCACTTCCCTACCCTAAATAACAATGGGGTCTAAGGACGAGCTTTAAAACTCACACACTTTTTTCTACAAATTAAACCTCCTGATTATACACGCCCCTCAGTTTATGGTAGGCGGAGATCATAAGTATGAACTTCTTTTAACATATGATTTTTTGCATCCCATTATTTAACCGACATAGAAACACCATGCTAAACTAATGCTAAATATTCGCCGAATATATAATTCCAAATGATTCATTATCATGTTCCTAGA